TCACACTCTGTACATATGTTGAAATATAACATTTTAGTCCATAAAAATGTGCAACTTTACATGTAAATAAAAATGTTTAAAGATAAAAAAATTAAGTAAAAAATTTGCCAGACTATGAAACTACTTTAAATTTAATTGTGTATTTAAAAATATTATAATAAAAGGCATCATATGTAAATCACTTAATTCACATAAAGTTTTCACTTAAAAGGTAATTCACATGGAATAACACACCATCCACATAATCGAATTCAAAACATTGTATAAATCTACACAACTTATATGGAATATGTCCCCAATATATTATTATGTGAAGTGATAAATATGGCTAATGTGAATCACACAATACCTATTTTATAAATTTAGAAAAAGGCAGCACTTATATATAGATCCAGGTATTTATGTATATACATATAGATCTAGGTATTTATATACAGATATAGGTATTAAAATTCTGAAGGAAAGACATACAAGGAACTGTTACTGTGATCACTTTTCAAAAGAACTACAATGAATAAGGGTAGAGGAACATATTTGCTTTTCTATCTTCCTATACTTTTTAAATTTTAAATATTGGCACCCATTAATTTTGTTGTTTTAATGGTTAACAGGTTGAATAACGGGTACTAAAATGTAGTCAGATGGAAGTAAAAGGATTTTGGTGTTCTACAGCACAATAGGATGATTATAGCTCAAAATAATGTGGCATAAACTGTATAAGAAAATGAAAGAGAAGTTGGGAGGCTCCAAGTTCAAAGATATTAAAATGGAAAGGTTAATTTCCTGGTTTCATTGGCTTATGCTCTGAATACGTGTTGATATATTGCACTATACTTCATAAAAGTATAAGTATTACATATTAAATCAAAATTTAAAATAATTTTTTTTATTTTTATTTTTAACTTTTATTTAATGAATATAAATTTCCAAAGTACAGCTTATGGATTACAATGGCTTCCCCCCCATAATGTCCCTCCCACCCCCAACCCTCCCCTTTCCCACTCCCTTTCCCCTTCCATTCACATCAAGATTCATTTTCAATTCTCTTTATATACAGAAGATCAGTTTAGCATACATTAAGTAAAGATTTCAACAGTTTGCTCCCATACAGAAACATAAAGTGAAAAATACTGTTTGAGTACTAGTTATAGCATTAAATCTCAATGTACAGCACACTAAAGACAGAGATCCTACATGAAGAGTAAGTGCACAGTGACTCCTGTTGTTGACTTAACAAATTGACACTCTTGTTTATGGCATCAGTAATCACCCTAGGCTCTTGTCATAAGCTGCCAAGGCTATGGAAGCCCCCTGAGTTCACTGACTCTGATAATTTTTAGACAAGGCCATGGTCAAAGTGGAAGTTGTCTCCTCCCTTCAGAGAAAGGTACCTCCTTCTTTGATGACCCGTTCTTTCCATTGGGATCTCACTCGTGGAGATCTTTCATTTAGGGTTTTTGTTTTTGTTTTCCCCAGAGTGTCTTTGCTTTCCATGCCTGAAATAGTCTCATGGGCTTTTCAGCCGGATCCACATGCCTTAAGGGCTGATTCTGAGGCCAGAGTGCTGTTTAGGACATCTGCCATTCTATGGGTCTGCTGTGTATCTCACTTCCCATGTTGGATCATTCTCTCCCTTTTTTATTCTATCAGCTAGTATTTGCAGACACTATTCTTGTTTATGTGATCCCTTTGACTCTTAGACCTATCAGTGTGATCAACCGTGAACTGAAATTGATCACTTGGATGAGTGAGATGGCATTGGTACATGCCACCTTGATGGGATTGAATCGGAATCCCCTGGTATGTTTCTAACTCTACCGTTTGAGGTAAGTCAGCTTGAGCATGTCCCAAATTGTACATCTCTTCCCTCTCTTATTCCCACTCTTATATTTAACAGCAATAACTTTTCAGTTAAGTTTCAGCACTTAAGAATAATGTGTATTATCCATAAGTCGTACTTTGGAAATTTATATTCATTAAATAAAAGTTAAAAAAAAAGAATAATGTGTATTGATTACAGTATTCACCAAAAGTATTAAGTAGAACAAAATAATTTTACATAGTTTAAAAATAAATTTAAAAATTGTTAACAGAGTTGAAAGTGGTGATAAACATTTTGATTTTCTTCTATTTACTTTTGATATTTTTTAAATATAGGAGAGCTATAAAGGACACTCAAGGGGGTGGCGCTATGGCTCAATGGGTTAAAGCCCTGGCCCACAGCACTAGCATCCCATAAGGGTACCGGTTCACATCCCAGCTGCTCCACTTCAAATCCAGCTCCCTGCTAATGCACGTGGGAAAGCAGAGGAGGATGGTCCAAGTCCTTGTGCTCCTGCCCCCACGTGGGAGACCCAGAGGAAGCTCTTGCCTCCTGGCTCAGATGGCTCAGCTCTGGCTGTTGCAGCCATTTGGGTAGTGAATCAGCTGAGGGAAGACCTCTCTCTCTCCCTCTCTCTCTGTAACAGTCTCTTTAAAATAAATAAAATAAATCTTTTTTAAAAAAAGAATACTCAAAATACATCAAACAGTAATTAACTGGACCAATATTATTGAATGGGTGGTGGGCTGTGAGTAGGAGGGAGAGTAGGGTGGGAAGTATCACTATGCTCCTAAATCTGTAAATATGAAATATATGAAATTTGTTCACTTTATATAAATGAAAAAAAATTTTATTCATTTTCATGGTTGAAGACACAATTCCACATTAAACCTGTGTAGATAGAGTTAAGGCAATGAGTAACTGCAGACGTAAGTTTAACATGACCCATTGGAGTATGTGGCTTTCAGAAAGCTGTTGTTATCTAAGGAGCAGAAAGAAGTTCTGTCAATTGGAACTGACCACAGAAGGGATAACCTAGTAGAAAGCAGTAAGATCTGTTTCAATGCTGTGCTTCAGGACATCCGGCTCCCTCTGCTAGTAATACCACCCCCTCCACTTTCCTGCTATAGGGAACTCCTATACAACCTTCAGGAATCACCTCTTTGAGGGAAGCTGTGCAGAACCCCTCCTTCACCCTTGTGGTTCTCAAACACTTCACCCCTATGGTTCTCAAACCAGAAACTTGACTTCAACTGGAAATTTGTTGCAAATGCAGGATCTGAAGTTCTATGTCAAAGGCCTACTTAACCTACATTTTTTTAAAAAATATTTATTTATTTATTTGAAAGGCAGAGTAACAGAGAGAGGGAGAGACAGAGAGGGAGAGAGAAACAGATCTTCCATCTGCTATGAATTACATTTTTGACAAGACTTGAGGTGATTCATATTCACATTAAATTTGGGAAGCATACCCAAGGTACACCCACATTTTTACAGCATTTACAAGGTATTTGTCTAAATTCAACTTTGAGATTGTTAAAAGCAAAATTTAAGATTTCTGTTGTTGTTCTATAACCATTGTACAAAAGAGATCCCCCGTAAATGTTTGCTAAAGAAATAATCAAATGAGCAACAATGAAGGAAAAGCAGAATATGATTCAAAAATGGACAATGGACCTAAGTAGACATTTCTGAAAAGAAGACATTCAAATGGTCAACAGATGTATGAAAAAATGTTCAATGTCACTAATCACCACACAAGTGCAAATCAAAACCACAATGAGACATCACCTCACTCCAGTCAGAATTTCTATTGTTACAAAGACATAACAGGTGTTGGCAAATATGTGGAGAAAGGAGAACCCCTTGCTTTGTGGGAATGTACAACCATTATGGAAAACAGCATAAAACTCCTCAAATATTAAAAATAGAACTACAAATTATCCAGAACACACACATACACACACACACATACATCCAAGGAACATGGAATTACTCTGTTGAAGTGACATCTGCACTCTCATGTCCATTGTAGCAGGATTCACAATAGCCAAGAAATGACAGCAACCTAGGTGTCCATCCACTGATGGATGGATAAAGAAAATGTGGTATACATATGCAATAGAATACTACTCAGACATAAAAAAAGATAAAGTCCAGTTGTGACAGAATGAATGGACCTGGAGGTCATTATGGTAAGTAAAATAAGTCACACAGAGAAACACAAATGTTCCATGACTTCATTCATGTGAGTAAAAAACAGTTGATCTCATAGAAGTTGAGAATAGAATGATGGTTACCAGAGTAGAGTAGGGGATTAAGGAGGGATGTGGAATTGTTGGTAAACAGGTACTAAGTTATATTTAGATAGGATGCACAGTAGGATGATTATAGATAATATAATGTATATTTCAAAATGCTAGAAGAATTTTGAACATTTTCACCACTAAAACAGATATATTTTTTGACAAGATAGATATGCTTACCCTCATTTTGAACATTATACAACATATATAAGTATCAAACATCACATGCACCACATAAATATGTCCAATTTTTAAGTATCAGTTAAAATTTAAAAATATTTTAAATGAAAGAAAAGTAAACAAAATTTGGTTCATTACTTTTTAGTAGTAATTCATCAATTATATGGCAATATAGAAATATTACTTGCAAATGATAAGTTAACCTTTAAAAAGATGCTTAGAAAAAACAGTATGTTTAAATGTACATATACCCTAGAAATACATTACAAAATATTTTTATTCCTACCAATGGAACATGAAACCCATGATTGTACCTAAAGCCTCTTATGATGAGCTTTGCCCTTCTTTAAAAAAAAAGCCTTACATGCGAATTAATATATAAGGTCACTAATTTTGTTGTAAGCCAGCAGATAAAACAGTAGAATAAATTACTTTTAGATTTCTTTTGTTTTTCTGTTGACACAAATTATACTACTGTCTTTCTTTAAGACTGCAGCTGTTGCTGGCTCTGTCACACTGTTTACTATAATTATTGCTTTCAGATTTCATGACCTGTATCCCAGGCCAGATGAGCAACTTCAGAAATCAACAACAATCATGGATGTTTACAAAATTATTGCTACTAGGAATCTCTTTTCCTAACAACATGAAAACTCCTTAGTATGGCTTCACCTTTCAACAAAAGTCCTCACCTTGCTGTTTCTCGCCACTCAGCATCCTCACCTTCACGCCAACAAATCTCATCCAATTCTGTGAAAAGGTCATGAGGAATGTGTTCTTCGTCATCATCCTCAGTTCCCAGAATGAACTGTACTCGCTGCGACGGGGTATCTAGGTGAAATCAGAGATGCAAACATGTATTACCTTGACTCTAAGCTCACCAGGTTCCAGTCACTACCTGCAACATCACCTCAAATTCACACTTGCACTGCCCAGCCACTGCAACACTCAGCTAGTGCAGACACAGGAATTAAAACCAAATTTACATAACATTAAGGCCAGCATAATTTGGGAGCATGAATATTTAAAATGCAATTATATATTATCAAATATAAAATCAAATATGATCATTTTTTATTTTTATAACATTCATGGCAACTATTTCTGTTTCTCACACATGTATAAACATTTTCTCATCATATATGATATATTCTATGGGTAATATTCAGAAGTGTAGATTATGATAAAATTTACTTACTCTAAAACTATGCTGAATATAATTCACCATATCGCTTCCCTAATCTCTCGCAACCACTGGTCTGGTTTATACTGCCATAGTTTTGTCTTTTCTTAAATGTCATGTAAGTGAAAACTGGGTATGTTAACTTTTTGAGACTGGCTTTATCATGTGGCTTAATGCCTTTGAGATTTTGAAATTTATATATATCATTGTGTGTATCAATAGTTCATTCCTAGGCAGGCGCCACGGCTCAGTAGGCTAATCCTCCGCCTTGCGGCGCCGGCACACCGGGTTCTAGTCCCGGTCAGGGCGTCGGATTCTGTCCCAGTTGCTCCTCTTCCAGGCCAGCTCTCTGCTGTGGCCCGGGAGTGCAGTGGAGGATGGCCCAGGTGCTTGGGCCCTGCACCCCATGGGAGACCAGGAGAAGCATCTGGCTCCTGCCTTCGGATCAGTGCGGTGCGCCGGCCACAGTGCGCCGGCCGTGGCGGCCATTGGAGGGTGAACCAACGGCAAAGGAAGACCTTTCTCTCTGTCTCTCTCTCTCTCACTGTCCACTCTGCCTGTCAAAAAAAAAAAAAATAGTTCATTCCTATAATCCTGAATAACAGTCCATTGTGGGAAGATACCACATTTTGCTTATGCATGCATCTGCTGAAGGATATTTGAGTTATTTCCAATGTTTCTCAATTATGACTAGAACTACTGTAAGTATATTTGTATAGGTTTTCTTTTAAAAAATTATTTATTTGAAATGTAGAGTTACAGAGAGGCAGAGGCAGAGGCAGAGGCAGAGAGAGAGAGGTCTGTTGGTTCACTCCCCAGATGGCCGCATTGGCTGGAGCTGAGCTGATCCAAAGCCAGGAGCCAGGAGCTTCTTCTCGGTCAGCCATGTGGGTGCAGGGGCCCAAGGACTTGGGCCATCTTCCACTGCTTTCCCAGGCCAGATTAGAGAACTAGATTAGAAGTGGAGCATCTGGGACTCGAATCATCACCCATATATGATGCAGGCACTGAGAGAGGCAGCTTTACCCATTATGCCACAGTGCTGACCCAGTATAGGATTTTAAGTAAACAGAGTTTTTATTTTTCTAAGGTAAATACCTAGGAATAAGACTGTATCTTGGGGGGCCGGCACCGTGGCTTACTTGGTTAATCCTCTGCCTGTGGCACCAGCATCCCATATGGGCACCAGGTGCTAGTCCCGATTGCTCCTCTTCCAGTCCAGCTCTCTGCTGTGGCCCAGGAGGGCAGTGGAGGATGGCCAAAGTGCTTGGGCCCCTGCACCCACATGGGAGACCAGGAGGAACCACCTGGCTCCTGGTTTCGGATCATCGTAGCTCCTGTCATAACGGTCATTTGGGAGGTGAACCAACGGAAGGAAGACCTTTTTTTTTTTTTTTGAAACTTTTATTTAGTAAATATAAATTTCCAAAGTACAGTTTATGGATTACAATGGCATTTCCCCCCCATAACTTCCCTCCCACTCACACCCCTCCCTTCTCCCACTCCCTCTCCCATTCCATTCACATCAAGATTCATTTTCAATTATCTTTATATACAAAAGATTGATTTAGTATATATTAAGTAAAGATTTCATCAGTTTATACCCACACAGAAACACAAAGTGTAAAATACTGTTTCAGTGCTAGTTATAGCATTAATTCACATTGAACAACACATTAAGGACAGAGATCCTACATAAGGAGTAAGTACATAGTGACATAGTGACTCCTGTTGTTGACTTAACAATTTGACACTCTTGTTTATGGCATCAGAAATCTCCCTAGGCTCTAGTCATGAGTTGCCTAGGCTATGGAAGCCTTTTGAGTTCGCCGACTTTGATCTTATTCCGACAGGGTCATAGTCAAAGTGGAAGTTCTCTCCTCCCTTCAGAGAAAGGTACCTCCTTCTTTGATGGCCCCGTTCTTTCCACTGGGATCTCACTCGCAGAGATCTTCCAGTTAGGTGTTTGGTTTTTTTTTGTTTGTTTGTTTGGTTTTTTTTTTTTTTTTTTTGCCAGAGTGTCTTGACTTTCCATGCCTAAAATACTCTCATGGGCTCTTCAGCCAGATTCGAATGCCTTAGGAGCTGATTCTGAGGCCAGAGTGCTGTTTAGGACATCTGCCATTCTATGAGTCTGCTGTGTATCCCGCTTCCCATGTTGGATCGTTCTCTCCCTTTTTTATTCTATCATTTAGTATTAGCAGACACTAGTGTTGTTTGTGTTTGTGTGATCCCTTTGACTCTTAGACCTATCAGTGTGATCAACCGTGAACTGAAATTGATCACTTGGATGAGTGAGATGGCATTGGTACATGCCACTTTGATGGGATTTTATTGAAATCCCCTGGCACATTTCTAACTTCACCATTTGGGGCAAGTCAGTTTGAGCACATCCCAAATTGTACATCTCCTCCCTCTCTTATTCCCACCCTTATATTTAACAGGAATCACTTTTCAGTTAAATTTCAACACCTAAGAATAAATGTGTGTTAACTACAGAGTTCAACCAATAGTATTAACTATAACAAAAAAATACTAAAAGGGATAAAGTATTAAATTGTACATCAACAGTCAGAAAAAGGGCTGATCAGGTCACTGTTTCTCAGTCTCCATTTCACTTCAACAGGTTTCTTCTTTGGTGCTCAGTTAGTTGTCACCGATCAGGGAGAACATATGATATTTGTCCCTTTGGGACTGGCTTAATTCACTCAGCATGATGCTTTCCAGATTCCTCCATTTTGTTGCAAATAACCGGATTTCATTGTTTTTGACTGCTGTATAGTATTCTATAGAGTACATGTCCCATAATTTCTTTACCCAGTCTACTACAACAAACAATCCACTTAAGAGATGGGCCAAGGACCTCAATAGACATTTTTCAAAAGAGCAAATCCAAATGGCCAACAGGCACATGAAAAAATGTTCAAGATCACTAGCAATCTGGGAAATGCAAATCAAAACCACAATGAGGTTTCACCTCACCCCAGTGAGAATGGCTCACATTCAGAAATCTACCAACAACAGATGCTGGCGAGGATGTGGGGAAAAAGAGACACTAATCCACTGTTGGTGGGAATGTAAACTGGTTAAGCCACTATGGAAGTCAGTCTGGAGATTCCTCAGAAACCTGAATATAACCCTACCATTCAACCCAGCCATCCCACTCCTTGGAATTTACCCAAAGGAAATTAAATTGGCAAACAAAAAAGTGGTCTGCACCTTAATGCTTATTGCAGCTCAATTCACAATAGCTAAGACCTGGAAATTTTTTGTTTGTTTGACAGGTAGAGTTATAGACAGTGAGAGAGAGAGAGAGAGAGAGAGAGACAAAGAGAAGGTCTTCCTTCCGTTGATTCACTCCCCAAATGGCCGCTATGGCCAGCGCACTGCGCCGATCCGAATCCAGGAACCAGGTGCTTCCTCCTGGTCTCCCATGTGGGTACAGGGCCCAAGCACTTGGGTCATCCTCCACTGCCTTCCCAGGCCACAGCAGAGAGCTGGACTGGACAAGGAGCAACCGGGACAGAATCCAGCCCTCAGTCTCCAACCAGGACTAGAACCCAGGGTACCAGCACGGCAGGCGGAGGATTAGCCTAGTGAGCCACAGCGCCGGCCGGAAGACCTTTCTCTCTCTCTCTCACTGTCTATAACTCTACCTGTCAAAAAAAAAAAAATGACTGTATGTTGGGGCCAGTGCCGTGGTGCAGCAGGTAAAGCTGCTGTCTGCTGTGCTAGCATCCCATATGGGCACTGGTTCAAGTCCTGCCTGCTCTACTTCCAATCCAGCTCTCTGCTATGGCCTGGGAAAGCAGAAGATGGCCCCAGTCCTTGGGCCACTGCACCCATGTGGGAGACCCGAAAGAAGCTCCTGGCTCCTGGCTTCCGAGTGGCATAGCTCTGGGTGTTATGGCCAATTGGGGAATGAGCCAGCGGATGGAAGACCTCTCTCTCTTCTGCCTCTCCTTCTCTCTGTGTAACTCTGACTTTCAAATAAATAAATCTTAAAAAAAAAAAAAACAAAACTGCATGCTATACAGTGACTGTAAGTTCAGCTTTAGAAGACTCTGCAAAACTGCTTTCCAGAATGGCTGTACCATTTTGCATTCCCAGGGGCAATGTATGAGAGCTGCAGTTCCTGAAATTTTCACCTGCACTTGCATTTGGTATTGTCAATTGCTTTTTCGTTTTCTATGTACTGATACCTCATTGAGAGTTAATTTACACTTCTCTGGTGGTTACTACTGACAATTTCTCATGTATTTATTTGCTATTCATATTTCTTCTCTGAAAACATGTTGAAATGTTTTTCCAATTTTCAGATGGGTTTTTTGTTCTTTACTATTGAGTTTTGAGAATTCATTATAGTTGTATATTTTGCATAAAAAGATTTTGCTGAACATACAATTTGCAAATATTTTCTCTTATGCCCATCTATTGCTTAAGTTTACATTATCTTAACAGTGTCTTTCACTTACCAAAATGTTGAATTTTGATAAATTCCAACTCATTTTTTCTACTTACATTATGCTTTTAGTTCCAAATTTCAGCACTCTTGCCTAAAAATCTCAATGATTTTCTCATGTTATTTTCTAAGTGTTTTTGTAGTTTTCTATTTTACATTATAAGCTATTGTGTATTTTAAGTTAAT